AGTCTAAATATCCTAGACTTAGACTTGATTTCTCAACATTAGAGTATCACGTACTCAAATGGTAGAAAATGACTCTACTAAATGTTCCTAATGTTACACTGCTTTATCAAGAGGATGGACATTAAAAAAAAAAAAAATCAATGCTTCCTACCACTGCTGAATGAATATAATGCTCTGGATTTAGCAGAAAGTATAATTTGGAAATATGAATTAGTGGAACTTAATCATAATCAGGTGCCATATATGCCCACCTAACAATTATTTCTCTATTTCTCAACTGGATATCTTTCAATAAATAAGAATTTATCATTAAAAAAAAATAAGCTGTACATCCAAAGGAAGAGTCTTCATAAAACCTGGTAATAAACAATACCTGGGAAGCTATGACCTTGACAGTCAATCAGAGACAAAGGGGCTCTGACAAGCAAGAATGGGGAGATTTTCTAGGCATTCAAGAGGTATCTCAGAAATTCCATGCCTTAAAATAAGCCTACTCTCCCCCTTCCCTCTAAGAAAGCTTAAAAACAAGATTGGGAAGGAAAATAAAGATAATCTGCCACTAACTGAACTGCCCATCTGTACAAAACTCAAAAGTCTCTAAAGTAATGCTACAAAATCTGCATTCTCATAAACATAGTATCCACAACATCCAGCATGTATTCAAAAATTACTACCCATGTAAAGGAAATGTGACCCATAATCAGGGGGAAAAAAGCAGTCAATACACACCAACCCTGAGATAACCTAGATGTTGAGATTAGGAGACAAGAACTTCAGAGCTTTAGTACTACAGTTGACCCTTGAACAATGCAGAGGTTAGGGGCACCAAGCTCTTGCACAGTTGAAATCTACATATAACTTTGACTCCCCTAAAACTTAACTACTAATAGCCTACTGTTCACTGGAAGCCTTACCAATAACAATTAGAACATATTTTGTATGTATATCTATTATATACACTGTATTCTTAAAATAATCTAAAGAAAATGTTAAGAAAATCGTGAGAAAATACATTTATAGTACTGTAAAGATCTGTTTATAAGTGGACCCACATGGTTCAAGCCCTTGTTGTTCTAAGTTCAACTGTATATCCAGGGGCCAAAAAAGAAAATATTATCATAATGAATATGCAGATGGAAAATCTCAGCAGGAAAATATAAAAAGAATTAAATACAAATTCTAGAATATAAAATACAAACTTAGCAATGAAAAAATGTACTAGATCCAAACCCACAGAATCTATAGCACCAAGAGTGAACCCTATGTAAAATAGGTACTTTGAATGGCTATGATGTGTCCATGAAGGTTTATCAATTTTAACAAACGTACCTCTCTGTGGGGGATGCTGATAACAGGAGAGGATGCACATAGGTGTGGGCAGGGGGTGTGTGGGAAATCTCTGTACCCTTCCTTCAATTTTGCTATGAACCATAAACTGGTCCAAAAAAAAAAAAAATTAAAAACAGCAAAAAAAAAAAAAAATGTATGGATGAAAAGTTCAGCAGCTTACAGATGGCAGAAGAGCCAGGAAACTTGAAAACAAATAAGTAGAAATTATGCATTTTGGTGAACAGAGGGACTAGGGAGAGGGAAAAAAATCTGAACAAAACCTCTATGATCTGTGAGACAATATTAAACTACCTAATATATGTGTGATTGGTATGTGTGTGATTAAATATATTATGTGTGATTCCTGGAGAGGAGAGAAAATGAAGAAAAAAATATTTGAAAAAGTTATGGAAAAATTTTCTCCAAATTTTGGGGTAAATGCACTTATATATCAAAGAAGCTTGACAAAAAGCAAAGGAAAAAAAATACAAAAAACCCCAGTCCTAGGTACACCTTAGTCAAACTACTACACAGGAAAATTTTGAAAGGCAGAGGGAAAAAAATGACCCAGTACATATTAGAACAAATATAAACTCTGAATGCCTTTTTGTCAGAAACAATAAAAGCAGGAAGACAATTGAGTGACATCTTTAAAGGACTGAAAAAAAATTCTGTGAACCCAGAATTCCATATCTAGTAAAAAGCACCTGCAATACTGAAGACATGTTTTTTTTTTTTTTCCTTATGTAGGCTTCACACCCAGCACAGAGCCCAATGTGGGGCCCGAACACATGACCAGGAGAGCAATACCTGAGCTGAGATCAAGGGTCGGCCGCTTAACAGACTGAGCCACCCAGGTGCCCCTAAAGACATTTTTTAATTAAAAGAAAAAAAAAAAGATGTTACCAGTAGATTTACACTACAAGAAATGCTAAAGGATCAGCCTGAAAGGAATTAGTACTGGATGGAAAGTTGGGTTTACAAGAGGAAATGCAGAATTTAAGAAATAATATATGGGTAAATATAGAAAACAACTATATTCTTTTGCTTTTTAAAAAAGACATAGGATAGTTTAAAGCAATAATTATAAGACTACTGTGAGGTTTATAACCTAGATCTATATGTTAACATAGCACAAAAGATAATTCTCACATTTTTTCTTAAGTGCTACATTAAGTAGAACATTGCAAGATATATATTGTAATTCCTAAAACAACCATAAAACAATGCAGAGATCTGTTGAAAATAAAATGAAAAAAAATTAACCCAAAATCGACCTGGAAAGGATAAATAAACAAATGAGGCAAATAGGAAACAAAATGGTAGGCCCAAATCCAACCATACCAATAACTATATTAAATATAAATGGATAACACACTCTAATTGAAAGTCAAAGACAGCCTAGCTAAAATAGCAAGGCCCAACTATATACTGTCTACCAGAGATGTTCTTTAAAAATAAAGACAGTAGGTTGAAAAGAAAAAAGGTATACCATGAAAACAGGAAGTATAAGAAAAACTGGCTCCACTATTGTAGACAAAATACACTTCAAGACAAACTATTCTAGCAGAGGTAATGACAAATATTTCACTAACAGTATAAAGGTCTGTTAATCAGGGAACCCATAACAATAATTATAACCACCTTATAATACAGCTTCAAAATATATAAAGTGAAAACTCATAATCAAAAGGAGAAATGGCCAAATTCACAAGCAAAAGATTTTTAATGCTCTTCTCTTAGTAACTGATAAAAAATTAGACAAAAATTTAATAAGCATATAGAAGATCTGAACACTATCAGCCATTTTGATCAAATTTGAGAATGCTACGCTCGATATTTGAATGATACACATGTTTCAATAAATTCTGAAATATTACAGTGCATATTTTCTGACAATAGAACTTAGAAACCAATAAGTTATCTAGAAAAACCACATATTTTTAGACATTAAATAATCCACTTTTATATTACCCATGAATCAAAGAAGAAATCACATTGAGAATTAAAAAATATTTTTAAAGAAATGATAATGGAAACACAACATATCAAAGTGTGTGGGATGCAACTAAAGTTGCTTACAAGAAAATTTATAACTTTAAGTGCTTATATCAGAAAATTAGAATGGTTTAAATCACTAATTAAATTTTTCTACCTTAAGAACTTCAGCTACAACTTAGCTGAACAAACTAAACCCAAAGTAAAAAGAAGGAAATAATAAAGATTAGAAATCAATGAAATATAAATTAAGAAGCCAAAAGTTGCATCTTTGAAAAGATTAATGAAATAAAATCAGTAGTTAATAAGAAAGACCTTAACTGGCTAACACACAGTCCCTTTTTAAAACTTTTCAGATCTGATGTGTTTTGTAATTCAGAATTTCATATTTTAGAAGGTTCTGTCTTACAGATATTGTATATAATATCCTCAGTGAAGTCTAGGTAGCACACTGTAATCAAACACAATATTTCTGTAGTGAAATCTATAAATATTCACTTTTAGAAGGAAAAAGACGATAAATAGCCTTATCTCAGTTTAGGTCAGGTCAGGTTTTGGTGGCAAAAATTCCAAAACAAATGGATTTTAGAGGTTTTTAAAAAATTTCTGAATTGCAGAATTGCTATTGTGGATTTGTACTAAACTGATCACTCCTTTTTATAGGTAGGTCCTCTATGTCCCTGAACATATGACAGTGCCCAATTACTAAGTCTTCAGGGATGACATTCTTAGCTAAGATCATAGGATGAATTTTTTTCCTTCTATAGCTTCCATGAAACTAGAGGATCAGAATATTTAGTAAAATCCAATGACCTTTATATAATGACCTTGCCTGTATTTGAAAAGGGGACATTAGACTTCCAGGAAATTGGGTTCCTAGTCAAAGAAGACAGAAATTTCAGGCAAAGAAGCATATTCTCCTCTATATAGTAAATAAAATCATCAGACATACAAACACATAATAGTAAATACTGATATATACAAAACTGAAAATATCCTTGGAATTCTATACAACGGACATCTATACTTTCAATTTTCAAATTCCATTTTTGTCAGGCAAATTCCACAACAAATATATTAAGTTGACAATGAATAAAGCTTAAATTATATTTCTAAAAGTAATTATATGACTTATTTAAAATAATCTCAGATTTCGACCCAATTTTCTAGAGATCGTCTTGAGTTGTAGGGAAACCCATTTCTACAAAGCTAATATTTATTTATTTAAAAAAATTTTTAAAGAAGATTTATTTATTTATATTAGAGAGAGAGAGAGAGCACACAAGTGGGAGGGGCAGAGGGATAGAGAATCTCAAGCAGACTTTGAGCTGAGTGAGGAGCCCATGTGGGGCTCAATCTCACGACCCTGAGATAAGGAGCTGAGCCAAACCAAGAGTTAGATGCTTAAGAAACTGAGCTACCCAGGTGCCCCCAAATTTTTATTTAAATTCTAGTTAGTTAACATATAGTGTAATACTGATTTCAGGAGTAGAGTTTAGTGATTCATCACTTACATACAAACCTAATAATTCTCAGGAAGACCATAACAGGAAGAACAGTAACAGAACAGTATTAATAGTAATAATTGCAGAAATTTCCTTCAAAGCCCATGCAATACTCCCATAGGTGCTAACTGGAGCCATGCATGCATTAAATCAGACGTATGTACTTACTATTACTGCTACTGCTGTCATTCCTAAGGGAGCTGGCTGCAACAGGGGGTAACATAAATGGTTTTGTGACACTGACTCTGGAATCTAAATAGAAAGCAATAATGTGTCAGTGTTGCATGGTGATTTACATAAATTACAGAGTGTGCAAAAGGTTGAAGTGCAATACCAGTGTACTTTCAAGGTCTGCTTCCCCAATTTTGATTATTCAGATCCTATTTATTTCTTACTGGGTCCTGTTCTATTTTTATTAAGAAATTCATCACAGTCACCTTATAGAACAAAGATTCGTTGCCTACATATGTTAATAAATCTAAGTAACACAAATTGTTGGTAATTAGTCTTAAAAAAAAAAAAAAGCAATGGAAGTAGATTTTGTACTACAGGGACCCAGTGGGATAAAAGGTCTCAATACAGAGTAACTGGTGAAGATCAGAATTCATGACTCAGAGGTAGACCTTAAGGAAAAGATTTGAAAAGGGGACATTAAGAAAACTGAAGATGAAGAATAACATACACTACACAATACTAGCAAATTATCAGATAAAAAATGAGTCACTGTATCCCATATTGTTTACCCACACAAAATTCGTATATTTGAAAATGATGAGTGCTGCTTTGGTTTGAAAACCAACAAATCAACTGATCACTTCTTTCATGCCATTGATATATGTCTTTGTATTAGACATATGCACATACATCTTTCTCTAGCTACACATATATTTGAGTCAGAGGTAGATTCTTACCTACACATACAAGATTCAAGCTTGCTTTTGGCATTTAAATTGGAAATGCTTATATGTCTTACCTTTTTCAGGACTTAATGTTGAAGAAACCACACATTCACTAGTTTTAGATGCCACGGTCTCCAAGTCCTTGAGGGCATCAATGGATCTATTAAAAATTCTGAAGAATTCTTCAGGGGTAAAATGCCTGTGTTCTGGGCTCTTAGGTGTTTTTTTTACATTCTAGAAGAAAACAGGATTATATTTTTCAGATAGTTTACAGATTTAACTGATGTCAAGGTAATAGACTATAAATACATTCCCCAAAGATTCAAGTAAAACTAACACTTTTAGACAACTGTTGTATCACACATAATTCAAATTGGTACTACAAGATAGTGATCCCATCCAGTTTGGTCTGGGGCTCAACTCTAGATAAAGGAATGGAGTGGTGGTGGGGGTAAGGTGAATAGAACATCAAAACAAAATAATGTTAGCAAGAAATTAGAGACACTGTTCTTTAGAAATGCTCATTAAAATAATTATTCCTCATTAAAAAAAAAAAAATACCTCTCTATAACACATGCTCCAAACAGCCCAAAATTAGAAAGTCTGATGATACTAAATATTGGCAAGAATATGGAACAAAGGGGACTCTTATATACTGGTGGAATGATATAAATTGGCGCATTTGGTATCATCTGGTAAGATTGGACATGTGCCCATTTTGTAACCCAGAAATTCCACTTTTAGGTGAATACTCTATAGAGAAGCTCTGGCACATATGCATCAGGAGACATACAAGAAAGTTCTTAGCAACAGTGTTATATAACCCTTCCATCAAACAACAGAAGAGTGGTTAAATCATGAGAGACTCTTAACTATAGGAAACCAACTGAGGGTTGCTGGAGGGGAGGTGGGTGAGGATGTGTTAACTGGGTGATGGGCATTAAGGAGGACATGTGATGTGATGAGCACTGGGTGTTACAAGCAACTGATGAATAACTGAACTCTACTTTTGAAACTAATGATGTACTATATGTTGGTCAACTGAATTTAAATGAAGAAAAAAAAGAGTGGTTTAATAAATATTGGTATATTAAGTCCACTCTATAAGCAGGAAAAACTTAATTTCAGCTATATGCCTCAAAGTGGATATATCTTATAAACATAATGCTGAGCAAAAGAACCAAGTTATAAAAGAATAGAGAGTATGATTAATTTCTAGAAATTCCCCAAGAAAGCAAACCAGACTATATTTTAGGAATTCATACATGCATGATTATCTATAAATAAAAGTAGGTAATAATAACACCTATGTAGCATTTGCTATGTACTACACTAAGTGCGTTATACATATTAACTCCATCTCCAAAACAACAAAGAAATACCACTGGGTTCTAGCCACAGTGCCCTGATTAGTAAATATATACTCTTCAGTATTTGGGATGATCTTCTTGACATCACCATTTACCTAACACTTAACTCATCTTTCAAGCCCCAATGGGCGGATTATTTCCTTCATGACACTGTTCCTCATATGCCCTACTTTTTGTGACCTCTACCTCTTATCATTGCCATCAGAACACTATTTGTACTAATATGATATAAAAAGACATGTTAACTCTAAGATGTCATAGACTGTAAGACACACCAATTTAGAAATTAAAAAGTAAAGCAACAGAAGTGATGAAATGTAGTGAGGAGTCTCTTAGTACAGTAAGAATTCTGAGTTTGAACACACATGGGATGGATATTGGGTCTTAAAGAGAAATTGAATTTGGATGAGAAGGAAGTATTTAAAAGTACAGAATGATATTTAAAACCTTAGGTTTAAACATCTAGAAGGCCTGTAGGGTAGACACTGAATTGTGAACTCTATGCTAAAGCAAGTCTCCCAAGATCTATTTTGTGGTATTCTAAAATAATAATAAAAATGTTTATTAGGATTTATTTTGCCAGACATGGTACCAAGGCACTAATCACAAATCATCTAATGTCAACTCCATGAGATGGATCCTGTCATTGTCCTCATTCTAGGCATAAAGAATGTGAACACAGAGAGGTTAAGTTCACAAAGGTAACTAGTGACAGAGTCAGGATTTGAACTCTAACACCTCATTCTTGATCTCTATACACTGCCTTGTCAATAAAGTTCAATCTCACAGCACTGCCACGCCCACATTCTGAAGCTGGTAACAACTAGTCATCAAATGACCTGGAGATGTTAAAATGCACTTCATTGTTGTGACATGATTACTATGGATAGGAGATCTAAGTGTTCATTATAGATAATTTTCCATTTAAATGTAAATGAACATTTGTAACCTAAAAGGTGGGTTATGAGGACTTCATTCACGAAATAAAGGTCTATTTTTTTTATGTTTAGTGGGAATAAATTTAATTTTTATATTAAATGACATCTAAGCCTTTATGTATGTTTCAGTATTGCAGTGTGACCACAACCACCTATTTTCCGTGCTCATCTTAAAAAAATTTTTTAATTAAAAATTTATAAATTAAAAATTTCACAAATAAAGATATTGCCACCCTTGCCTAGGTCAGCATAGGTCTTAGAGAAGAGTAGTAAGAAGCAATCCCAAAGAATACAAAGTTACCTCAAATGAGTGTTCTTCCATGCACTCCACAAGGTCATCCACTATTTTCACAAGTTTGTCTATGATAGAGTAATTACTCAAGCCTTCAGAAATATTTGAAAACTTGTCCAGAAGATCAGTTAAGCTGACTGACAACTGTTCCACCATCACGCTTATCCAACAATGACTAGGCTGCAAGAAATTGAAAGAAAGGAAGATAAAGGCATCTATTGTAAATACAGTAAACTTGGAGTACCCTTCTTTAAAGACATCAATGTTTCAGTCCCTGCTGGACAAAGAATTTCCTTATATCAGAACAGGTCAGTTCTTGTGTTTTGTTTAACTCAGATTTAACATCTGCTTCAAAATTTGCAAATGAATAAAGACCTGAACAAAGTATTGCTGGTAAAGAATGTTGCTCTTCCATGGAAGTAAATTAAATACAAAGCCAAGTCTTACCCTTGACAAGGTTTACTTATTTTACTCACAGCGTTTTTAGAAAAGCTTTATGCAGAGGGAGTTACCTAGCCCTCAAGGACTCACAGTCTTTTGGTGAACTGGAATATGAAACAATGGATTAAAATAGCTTATTTTTCCAAAGTGCTTGATAGATTTCAAGGCTTCTTCATAGATAAATTCATGTGGATGTCTAAAAAACAAACAAACAAACAAAAGCCCTGGCAGGAATGTGGTCTCTGAGAGAAGCACTTTTGCCTTAGCAGCAGGACCAGCTACATAATTTGTGGAGCCAAGTGCAAAATGATAACATATTTATTGGTTCAAATTTTGTTCAAGAATGAATGATTACAAGATGGTAACAGCAGAGTAGTAAACCAATCACGGAGCCTTGCCCATGAAGCTAGCCCTGCCCATTGGTTAGAAGCTCAAATCTGTACAGTCAGGTATAACTGGGTTCGATTCTGGCTAAGAAACTCCAGACATCTGCATAAATTCTCTGAACCTCTCTGTAGAATGGGAATAACAGAACAAGGTAGTTGTGAGGAGATAATGTACATAATTTGAATGTAAGTTTTAATGAAGGCACTATTTTTTTTTTTAATATGGCCTAGAACAGTGTCTCTGGCATGTGAAAGTTGCTCAGAAACTAATTGTTGAACAAATGCATGAGTGAATAAAAAATGAATGAGAAAAAAATACTCTGTGTCAGGGGTCTACACTTTCTGTAAAGGGCTAGATAATATTTTAGGTTTTGCATGCCAAGAGGCAAAAATAAAGGATATTATGTAGGTGGGCATTTATACAGAGAAAACAAATTTCTACAAAACTTTTATTATAAAATTAAAATGTAGTAATAATAATTGAATATAATGTCTTTTGCAGAATAATCAAATTTAATCTTTTGTAATATAGGTCTACCAATAAGAATGGAATTCTTTATTTTGGTTCAACATTTTGTTTAGCTGGGTTTCAAAGTATTCTCGATTATCAGACTACAAATGTTCATCTGTAAAAACCAATCTCAGCTGGCTGGCCATATAAAATCAGGCAGTGGATTGGATCTGGCCTACAGGGTATGGTATACCAGCCTCTGTTATAAATGGCTCTGGGCCAATAAAGGTTTAGATTATCAGGAAAAAGATCTCCTTGATGTATTATTAAATTCTACTTTTTAAATTAGTGTAACATTACTTAAAATAAGTTCATATACTTTGTATACTTTAACATGTTTTCTTACATAAACATCTTTTAAGTAGAATCTCTGATTTTTTTTTAAACTTGGCTAAAATGTAACAAGTGAGAAAAATAAGATTGGGGATAGCTATAATTGCCATGGTGTATAAGATCCTAAATAATTTAAAATAACTTCTGCTGTAATAAAAATATTATAATCATAGGGTGTACCTGATGCCATGTAAAATTAATCAAACCACTAAACTTGATTTCTCTTCTTACTAGCAGAATATCTCTATGGGGGGAGGCCAAGTGATTTATCCTAAATTATACAAGGGGGCCGTCTTCTATTCATTTAACAGAACAGTTTTAATTAATATAACACAGCCAAAAAGGAAATGGGTTTATCTACAAATTGGTAAGCCCCAATTCCTGGAAGCACTAAATGTCATTCAAAACGTTCAGGAGTGTTGGCTCTGGCTTCAGAAAAGTATAATAAACAAACCCCCAAATGGGAATTAGTTCAATTAGGCCATTTCACTCAACTCATCAACCAAGTTCTCAAAGACTATGTGTTTCCAAAGTATGTTCAGAATGGATTCTTTGTTTTGTTTAATCAGTGCTTATCTCAAGCACATGTAAGTTCACATTTGCATCATTCACAGGTCTCTTTCCAAAATGTCAGTCTTTCCTTTGGGACTGAATCGCTCTCCAAGTCTCCATCCATTTAAACAGTGATAATTCCCTTTCAGATAGTCAGCCCTGTCAGCAAGGGGCAGATTTCCTAGAATCTGGGATACAGCACATACTGCAAATACTGTTTGAAGAGTATTTATATGGTAGGGCAGCCTTCCCCAATTAATTCATTCTGTTGTAATGGTGCAAATTTTTCTGTGGCAAGCTGATTCTAGGTGTCAGTCTCTTTAAATTCTGTCTTCACTCCACTTTATAAACATGCTTGCCTATCCTTTCCTCAGATCTTCTGACATAGAAGAACCAAAATCAAATTCCCTTATTCTGAACTAAGGTACTCCCTTTAGCTTCTGCAGTATGGGTGCCTTAAGTGAGCAGGTTTTTTTTTTTTTTTCCTTTTTTGTGGTTAAAGTAGAAAAGATTTTGTTTATAGGTTTCTTATTTTTAACCAGGGAACTCTGGGGTGCTTTACTACCACCACTTCTGTTTATCTCTATTTTCAGCTGAACTCTATGTTTGTATTCTGTATTCAAGTTCTTATTTAGCTATGACGACTCTCTCACGGCCACCCATGGTCCCCGTCCCCCACGGTCCCCAACTTTTATATACCTAATCAACAACTGAAGCAATCAACATTTCCTAGCAAAATTCTCAAGCCTAAACTTCTAACTTCTTACAGTTAAATCCTGGAAATCTCACCATCTAATCCTAGCCCAAAATTTGCCCTTTAAAAATTATGAAGTATTCATTGCTAGCTGATATGAGCTTCTGTACTACTACACTGCTGCAAAACACATTTCTAAACATCTTGTAAATTATATTTCATTCATTATTCATTCTTGCCAAATTTCCTTGGAAAAAACTATATAATCAATTCAGAGTTCTATCTTTTCATTAATTTGCTTAAAGAGTTACATGTTAGCTTTTTAGGATTCTTGGACTTATTAAAGATAGATCTGAGGCTGAAAAAAAAATTAAATATCAGCCAGTTTTGACCTGTCTGCAAGAGAGAAAACCAGTTTTGACTAGATCATCAAGCAATTTCATATTTTCCTTTTAATTAAATATAGTCAATGATTTGCAAAGAGAATGAAACACAGGAAACTCAGTATTTCATTTGTGAGATGATAGATCTGCTTCTTGACTCTTCCAAGATTATGATTAGGAAACGAATGATTGAAGGCTATAAGTTTCCAGAATATAATTTTTCCTTTTGCCTTCATAATAGGCATTATTATCACTATTCCTTAGCTTTAGACCATTTTAAGCTTAAATAGTTCTGTATAAATATCAACTCACAACATTCATCAGAAGAATGTAAGATACAAATAATGTTCTCTATTTTAGGAGAAGAATGTGAAGAATTAGGAAAGCTGATAAAACCACACAGGAGGCCAAAGAAGTGAGGTAAGAGGTGCCTCTCAAATTCTTGAAGTACATATAATTTAATTTTCCATTCACCTATATATACCTACAAAACAAAATATACTCCTTGCTTTGAAAGGGAAAATCTGTCTGGGTTTTCCTTAACTCCAGACTCTCAATTTCTTATCTTCTTTCTTGGTAGCCTCCGTCCTACATTTTCTGGGTTAATTACAGCAACTCTGGCTAAGACTACTGGAAAAACATGCTTTCAATTCCTATGTAACATGTATCATTCTAGAATGCTAACTGAATTAATGCATCGGTAATTCTTGACCTGCCACCATGCCACCACCATTGAAGATTTGTTTAAAAGCTGTAAACTTCCTAAGGGATTTTAAAGCACCATGACCAAGTTAATGATTTAACTAAATGATTAAATAAAAGACATAAAAACTCCTATACTTAAAAGCATTCTAAACATAACTAGAATAGGACTGCTTCCAAAGACCAATAATGGAAATATCTTTGCACATTCTAAAACCACACATAAATTTAAAATAGGTCATATATGAGTATATAAAATACATAATATATGATATGTGATATAACACCTCTGCAGCCCCAGAACTGATACATTTGAGACCCTGGCTGAAACTGTGTGCTTTACAAACATCCTGGGGACTTGCTCAGTCTGTCATGCTTTTCTCTTCTTCTATCCCCTGCTTCATTCAAGAAATTGTTCTGGTTTATGAGCTGAAAGAATTTGACACAATATTCTGCATCAGTCTTAGATGCAGAGGGAGTCTCTAAGGGCAGTCACCATTAGCTTTATGGGATTAGAGGCTGAAACTGGGCAAAACGACAATGACATTTCTTCATGCACACACTTGGCGCTACTCTCCATTTGGTACTGTAAGTATAGAGATACCTGTGTACTTCCTTAGTGGGTCCAAGGTAGGTATCTACATTGTGAGAGCTCCCTACAAAGGAGTTGGGATAATGTATCCATTAGAGATTTTCAGGGAGAAAAGCACTGACTCATAAAACCATGAGCCCTCTGAGGAATATTCACAAGCATGCATCCTGTCTTCTAATCCAACTAATCTAATTACCAGCATTACTGCCCAGTTAGATTGTTTTTGTATTCTTTGCTTTAATGTGTGTGTGTCAAACTGAAGTCTAGCCAGAATTAGAGGTATGAATGCCCAGGGCATAAAGCATTCCTTTCCTTCCTCTTGTGCTTCCAGCATTTACTTCCTGGCTGAGAAATCAAAAGAACCTAGAGCCATGCCATTGAGAATCACAATAGTTTAGATCTGGAAGGAATACTGAAGACCACCTGCTCCAGTCCCACCAATTTCATAAATGGGAAAACCAAGACCTAGAGCAGGGAATGCTTTGTTCAAGGTTGTACAATAAATTTAAAACAGAAACATTAGAACACCAAACCAAGACTCACCTAGTTCTTTTACCAGTGGTACAAAGCACATACAGCTGCAGTA